TATATATATATATATATATATAGGATGCGTTATGAATTTGCACATCATCTTTGTGCAGGAGTCATACTAATCTTCTCTGTATCATTCCAATTTTAGTATATGTGCTGCTGAAATAAGCACTCCACTGGTCCCATTTTACAGAAGAGGAGACTGAGGCCTAGTCATACAGGTATAGAGGATCTGAATCAGAGAGCCCACAGTACTTTGAGAGGGCAGCCTTTACTGTGCCTACCCAAACCTGTTCTATCATTTCTAATCAGTGCAGGGGGCTGGCAGGCCCCTGAGGCAGACGGCTGCTTGCCATGCTGTCCCGCAGGGGGCTCAATTCCAAAGTGCACACTGCAAGCCCACAGCACTGCTAATTAATGCTGAGAGATGCAATCATTTCTAATTAGCTCACTAATCCCTCTCTGCAGCCCTCCTGTCACTGAAGCAGGAAGGGGTCAAAACAAGGGACTGCCCCCTCCCCCTGCAATAGCAGAAGTAGAGCTAGCCACTCTGAGACCAGAGTGATTGGAGTGGCAAGACAATCGGGGAGAAAAATGTTCCCCATTGCAGGGCCAGGAAAAACTTTCTCATGGATATTGATCCTGGTGGGAAACTCATGAATGCAGTTTAGGTGTGGGGGGGACACAGGTGAAAGGTGATGTTACAATTTAGAGCTTCAGCTGTGTATCAGGCTCAGCATCAAATACCTTACACAAAGTAGCTCATTTAATTCTACATTCAACCTGAAGCAAGGCTGTATTATCCATTTTAACAGAAGAAACTCAAGGCTCAGCGAGAACTAGATACTTGTCCAAGTAGCTAAAAAGTGGCAAAGGCAGGATAAGAAATCAGGCCTGACTCCATAGGTCAGAATGCTCTCCTGTCCTAAGAATCTCCCCACTGACTGATAGCAGCAACAAAGACTGATCCGTGAGTGTGCCAGGGCAGCAAGAATGCACTTGGGGACCTAGCTCTTGCCTATTGAGAGTCTGAGGCAGGGAGCTATTCCAACTCCAAACGAGTAACTCTAGAAAGACCTAAACCAACAGGAAAGCCATCATCCCACCAGGGTTGGCATGAAGTTTGAGACATCTTGGTCAGTAGCCTGGCCCTTATCTTCAACTTCCTGTGCTCTTACCCAGGAGAGGTGACTATGTTCCAGTGTCGTCCTTGATTTTGTGGACAACGATCTAGATCCCCTCACCCTGACTGTCCTAACGCTTGGAATTTCAGACTTGAGTGACCTTGGCACCCTACAGCCATGGCTGGGATGGAGAAGGAATTCTAGATATCAGAAAGGCAAGGGGCCCTGGTGGTTCTTGAAGCCTGTATTGAGCAGTGTGCCAATACAAAGGGCCTATCACAGACACTGATGACTGAATAAAGAAATGAATCTTACAGAATTGCCAAGGAGAGCGTGATACTGGACACTGTTCTTGCCCAAGCCACCCAGGACAGAAGATCCCTTGTAATCCCAGGAAAGCACCCTGTTGGGGTTAGACAACACCTGAAAATTCTCAAGGCATTGCCTTGCTGATGAAGGAACTCACCATTCACCTTCTAAATCCTGAACTAAGCTTACTAAAATGTAGGTAGGGAAAGGTCTGTATTTGCTTAAGGAGGTAACACGGCACGGTCACAGAAGCACAAGCTTTGAAGGTAAACTTCAGTTTAAATCATGGTTCAGTTACATCCCGGCTGTGTGTTTTTAAACAAATCACCTTCCCCTCTCCCAGCCTCAGTTTCCTTATCTACAAAATGTGTTACCACTTTCCTCTCAGAAGTGTTGTGATAATGATGCTTAACATGGGGTCAGCCCATAATGAATGCTTTCCCGTTCCCCGATTGGAGTTCAGCCAGGCAGCAGAAACCAAGTGGCAGGAGCTGGCCAGAGACCCTAAAGCCCCTTACAGCTAACACCCAGATATACCACACCCATGTCAGCACAAAAAGCTAGGATCATCCAATTGTGTTCAGCAAACAGCAATGCTCCAGAGGTTTGAATCCAAAAGGGGGGCGCCAGGTAGTGCATACACGACGTGCTTTCAGAGAAGGCCTCTAAGAGCTGTCGAGCCCACGCTGATCACCTTTGTGAAATGTGGGCCGACTGATAACTCAAAGAGCCCTGGGATGAGTTAGTTCCTGTTGCCGTGGGAACTCCAGATCTCACTGCATTGTCAAGTCTCAGCAGAGAGGCTGTATTCACACTACTGGGCACTGATTAAAAACTGGAAGAAAAACATTCTCAGCGCCCTGCCGGCTTGTACAGTGAGGTCCCAGCAGTTTGCAAATTCAAAGCTGAGCTCCCGAGTGGAATTGTGTAGCTTGTTCCTCATTCTCTGGTACTTATTGCCCGCCAGGGTTCTTGAAGGCCTTCAGAGAGGCGTGGGCAAGAGCTGGAACCATAACCTCCATTAGACAGACGGGGAAACTGAGGGCGGCCACCTTGGTTAGCACATTCTCAGGCGCTGTGACTGCGACGAAGCCAAATGGCCCCAAAGTCGAAGAGACCCAGGCAAGCCCGGAGCTTCAGGCAGTGAGGGAGGGAGGAGGCCGGGGGTGGGGCGGAGGGAGGGGCCGGGCAAGACTCACCATTCAGTCGGGTCTGCCGGTTGGCTCGCACTCGCAGGAAGGTCTGGGAGAAGATCCCGGGCAGAAGCAAAAAAAGAGAGCGTCAGGCGCGGCCTGGAGCCCTGACCCCCGCCCCAGCACTGGACCCCGGTCCCGGGCTGCCCCGCCCCAAACAGCCCGTAAACAAACCTACTTCCTCCCTCCCGCCGGCCCCCCTGCTCCGCCGGCCGTTCCGGGCCCTCGGCATAGCCGCCGGGGGATGCTCTAACGGGACCCCGTGGCCGCCGCACGGTGCCGCCCCAACCCCGGTCTCCGGCGCTCCGGGCCCTGCGGCCGCCCGGCCGGCGAGGGCGGCGATGCGGGCGGATTCCCCCCGGCTGCCCGGCGGCGGCGGCACCTCAGCTCCCACCGGCGGCGGCGGCCATGTTGGCCCTGATCACGTGACCCGCTGCCGTCGCGCGCCGGGGTGAAAGTTCACGATGGGGGGGG